CCCCAAAACCCCAAAACCCCAAAACCCCAAAACCCCAAGCTATTCTGAAGATTGAATTCAAAATTAAGATTTCAGTCTATTTATGTGAGAGTTTGGAGGTGGACATGGTCACCTCAGAAGGATTAATCTCATAATTCTGGTTTAAGGGTTCATCTTCAAGTTTTAAAGTAGACTTTTTGGGTTTTTGAGGGAAGAGGATGTTCTTTTCGAGCTGGAGGATTGGGGACTCGATGATCAAGGATACAGGAACTCCTACTATCATTGTTGCAAAGAATGCAGGGAATGAATAGAAGACTGTTAAGGGTCCTGTAGCAACTAGAGAGCCTTTAGATTGAGCAAACACCCATGCTAGAGCTAGCACGTGGAGTAAGTAAGCAGTGAATGTTACTTTTGCCCATGGAGCCCAAAGCTTTGAACCCAAAAATCCTCTGACCAGGCTTAGTTTTCCAACAAATAAAGGAGCTAGGAAAAATCCAAGAGCTGCTACAAAAACACTTCTGTGGAATGCATTGAAGAAGTCACTAGGGATCTGAGGAATGTGTCTCTTTGATAAATCATGAAGTTCAAGCCTTGGAGCAATAATAAGTAACATCATTACAATAGAAGACACCAAGAATGATACCACTCATGTGAGATGATTCTTTTTAAAGAAGTTATAAAACCTGGCACCAAGAGAAAAATTGTAGGAAGGATTTGTTCTTGATTTGTTCCATTCATAATAGAAAATTCCAAAAAGAACTCCCACGAAATATGCACCACCTCTATTGTACGGATGGTTATATAACTCCTTGGAATATCTTCCAGCTGGGTCATTGATCGTAGTCATTGAGTGTCCTCTGATATGAGAAAAAATAAATGGAAGTATTATCGATATAACATTTAGGAAAACTACGATAATATATCCTATAACCTTCTTGTTAATATAAGCAAGGACAATGAAAGGAACAAAGAGGAAGAAAGTCATTTCATCTGCCAGGTACCATAGCTGACCCAAACATTCAGGTCCTTCATACCATGACGTAATAAAGACAATATTTGTCCACCAGCTCTTCCTTCATGGCTCTAAGAAGAAATTGTCAAGAGTTATGTACCAAATAGGCCCTGAGCCTGTGAATTCAGCTAATGTCAGCATCATGACTGTGAACAACAATATGCTTGGCACAACTCTGATTAGTCTGTGTAGATACACCATCGGAATATTAAAGCATTTGGTTCTCCTGCCTTCTTGGCATCTTGATGGATTTGAAAATTTAGAAATCATAAGATATGAAGCAAGAAAAGCAGACAAAAAGAAGAAAACATCTACAGAGTAGTAGCCTATCCCAGCCAGGATTGCCCACCAAGTGCCAAATAGCTCTTCTGCTGTTAAGATATTATAGACTCCTCCAATCAAGTTTCCAGAGCTTGTATGGCCAAGCACAACAAAGTACGTACTGATTACTCTAATCCCGTTTAGAACTGATAAATAATCATCATCCTTCTGGGGAGCATAAAACATTTTCTTAAAATTCCTTGAAGGAGAAAATGAGAGGAAAAATAACCCTAGTGTTGATTTAGAGTTCACTAAATTTTTATCTTTCAGTGAATCAGATGTGTCTTCACCTTCATTTGGGATAGCTCCGAATAAATTAGTATATTCGACAAACATACCAATCACAAAACAGACTCAAATCATAGAGAATCCGATGAAGCTGATGATATGACCTGCTGTTATTGGGGCAACTTCTTTGTTTGGAAAAGTCACAATAAACTCGAGATCGTCCATTCCTGCATCAACTGCAAGACCAGTTACTACATCTGAAACCATTTGTAGATCCTCTCCTTGTCACACTGCAGGGAGGCACAATCCTACAAAGATTGGAACTCCTTTTGCATGAAGCAATGCATAGTCAGTTAAAGGGTTTAATTCACAAGCATCAGGATCTCCAAAGTCATTAAGATTTTTCCCTGTGGCCATAACCATGGTCAATATAGCTTCCTGATTGCTCATAAAAGCTCCTAAACATTCTCCACTATCAGCCTTCGTCACTATAAGAGATAACTCACGTTTGTCGAAAAGAATAAAAATGTGGTAAATTTAACTGAAATCCAACCCCTTGTAATTTTCTAAAGGTTCACTTACAAGCTACGAATAGCATCAATAAAACTATGAGAGCCAATATCTTAAACTTTCCTCTATTCATTTACTATATAAAATATTATTCTTTTCTATCTTATATTTTCTACAGGGGTTTTGGGGTTTTGGGGTTTTGGGG